TATATATATATATATATATATATATATATGCATATTCGTTTCTATCAATGTTAAAAACAATTAATCAAAAATTTAAAGAAATATTATAAATCTATAGAAACTATTGATTTGAATATGTGTCAGTGTTGACCTATGACACTCGACGATATAGCGCGAACAAACTTGTGCCATGAACTCGACTCGATCTCACCGTTATGCTCGACCCATAAAAACGATCATGGTAGAAAAGCTACGAGAATGAAGAGGCGAGGGCCAAATGAAGAGAGAAAGAGAGAGAGAGAGACAGAGAGAAGCGTCAGTCGGGTCAGGAGGACGTACGGACGTTCGTAATGGACGTACAGAAAAGGAAGTATAAAAAGATAGAGAGAAGGAAGAAAACTACGTCGAACGGTTTCTAAATGATGGGCCGTTAAAGACCGTATACGAAAGTACTGGAATACCAAGTCTTTTCTCTTTCTCCCTCTCTCTTTCTACAAGTCGACCACCCAAGGTCGAAAAGGGACCGGACTGTCCTTTCGATACTGTAAGGGCGACTGACCTCCTCCTCAAGTGAAAGGTGTCTCTTTGAAACATCTTGTATATATATATAGGCTAAAAAAAAATACAAACAAAAAATTAAACAAATGGATCAGTTTGAATTGTGTTAACGATACCGAGTCCCCTATTAGTCGCCTTTTACGACAAGCAGAGGATACTGTGGGTATATTCTACCCCCAACCCACAGAGGGAGGAAGGGGATAAATAATTAAATATATTTTAAGTGAAATGATTCTATTTCTATAGACTGTATGATAAGAATCAAGAAGACGACAGTTTTGCATAGATGGATCGTTCGATTTCGCCTATCACGGAAGAGACTCGAACAAAAAATGAGAATCGTCTCGTCAAGGTCGATAATCCTGGCACGAGGAATGGCAATAAACTTATCGTTATGTAGTTTCTTTTTTTTCTCCCCTCGAGCATTCTCCGCTGCTCCCTCGTGTCTCCTAATCTGAAGACAAGGGTAGGAAAAAATGATATCCCTCCCTGCGCAAAGCGGTCTTACGCTACATTTTTCTTTCTGAAAAACCAGTCGTGTTCAGCGCGCAACGGCTACGGCTGCAACCGCTTGCAACCACTGCTAGAAGAGACAAGATTGCATTCCGATGCAAGACTCCTGTGGTATCTCGAGGCGAACAAGGACAACAACGATTCGCTAAACGATTTCGCTTTAAACCAACCTTTTACAAAACGCGAAGTAGTTACTTTCCATTTAATTTTGTTAGGACATATAGCATCATGAAGATAAATCGAGTAAAAAAAAGGAAGAAAGAAAGAAAGAAAAAAAGAAATCAAACTAATTATTCTACAAATGAAAAAATATCGAAAAGAAAGAGGATAATTTAGAAGAAGTTACATATCTCGAGGATCTAAAGCTAAGGAAGAAACTACATAGTTATTTCCCGATCAAAGGAGAGTCCAAGTAGGTCTCCCCCTTCCTTACGAAGGAAACCTGGGAGAACCACCTGTAGGCTGAACGAGAGGTGTTGTGTTTTCACCTGGCAGTCGAAGCTGCGATCGCGAGCGAGCAAGGGGGAACCAATATTCGTCTTGCTCTCCTTTTTAGATCTTCTGTTAGGTTCAACCGTTCGATACTTCAAATATTCTCAATGAATACATTTTCGAGAAAGATTAGATAAAATCAATTTGAAAATATCATCGCGAGTGAATATAATTAACACTATTAAATATGTGATTTTATTAATACGACCATATTATTTCAATTGTTAAGTGTTTCGGACAATTTTCTTGAAAAGGAATAGTGTGTGTCTTTTAAAAGGATTCACAACATGGACACTGTCCTTGAAAAAATGGGCAAGCTCAATCTGGTAATTGTAATACGTTCTTAATCAAATTATATCGTTTGAAATTAGAAATAGAATTAAATTGTTCCTTAGACAGACAGAGAGAGAGAGAGAGAGAGAGAGAGAGAGAGAGAGAGACTGAATGACTAGCTTGGAAACGAGCAAGCTCGTTCGTTTTAAATGAAATGACATCTAATTCGTGTCCTAATTGCATTATCGTCTAACGTGCTCTATTATTAAGCTTAATTTTAACTAATGATATTTAAACGTTCAGTCAGCGTAAGCTTCTTAATAAGAGAGGCCGTTACGTAGACGTTACAAACATTTTTTTTTACATCGCGTTCGAGTTAGAGATTAGTTTAGTTCAACAATTTTCTCAGTAATCGTACTTTCGCTTTTTTTCTCTTTTTTTTTTTTTAAAGGTATATTCTATTTTTATCCGTGATATTCAATATCGTATAATAGATACTTTGTTCGTGATAAACGTAGATACACGCGTATTGCGAACGAGAGGATCCGAACGAGGACGCGAACTTAACAGGAAACTTCTCGCTTGGGCAATCGCAAATTACGTAAAAAAATATCATGGTGCTTCTTCGAACGTAAGAAGGAACCACGTAGTTTCTCATACGTACTTACAAACTTTCCGATGCGTTACAAAACCTACTTATGATTAATATACAAGACGAATAGTTTGATTCAGAGAAGCCATTGTTTCTTAATAATAATTATCGATGCGTTCGTTCGAGCGAAAGTTACGAGTAGAAAACGTCGTTTGTGATCTACCAAACTAAAGGATGTACTTTTTTAGTTTATCAAACACTTGTGTTATCCATTTTTTTGTTCAACTTTTTTTTAAAAGTATTTTTTTCAAATTTATACAAATTGAAATTAAATGGTAACACATAAAAAAATAGTTTCAATTTACATCACCATACGTGGTACCGTGTAAACTTATGTCGTGTCAGGTGTGTTCTCTTTTGTTCAGACATAGAAAATAGAACAGGAATAATTTCCAATTGATACACGATGTGCTTTTCAATTTTATCTAAACACATTGATCTATCGAGATCGATATATCGATCTTTTTCCAGACATTTATTGATAAGCAATATAAATAAATTAGTTGTTTAAAATATAAAATAATATTATTTTCTTATTAATTTTTCTCTCTAGTGTATTTTTTGTTGAATATTTCGTAAATACTCGACAAGAATAAGAGAACAACAACAACAACAACAAGGATAATAATAGACCAAGACAAGAAATTAAGAAGCGAGTCCTCCTTTCTTCCTTCGACACTATCTTTCACTAGTTCTTTTCTATCTCTTGTCTATTTTCAGTCGAGCTCTTTCATAGTTCGCTAGTCCGTAGTTGCGTGACGAATAACAACATCCTAGCGGTTTCGTTGAATAATTTTCGCGAAAACGAAACAATAGCAAACAAAAAAAAAGAAAAAAATACAAACATATTAACCTAATCCTAGTTTGATAATAATCGATAGTATTTTTAATTGAAAACGTTCGAAGGTTAGATTAATAAATAAATCGTGTTCTTAATTTCATTTACTGGTTTAACACGATCTACTTGTGGAATTTATTAAACGAATGTAATGTAGTGAACAAATAGTTCAAGGTACGTAACGATAAGAAACCGATAATATATTATTTCATTATTACGTAAATATGTTAATAATCGTGTATTATCTAATATTACAAATGTGTTCTAATTTTAAATGATTATATGAAATATTTAGTTTAAAAAAAAATGCCGTAAAAATAAATTCTCTTTCAAATAAATTATTTCGGTATCTTAAACAATGTGGTTAAATAATTACACATTTTAACATAATTCTCAGCCTAAATCGCAAACGTTGTTGACATTTGGCTTCTTTATGTACCTACTTACCTACACGTATATATGTATAAGTACGTGTCTATATTTTGTTCTTTTTTTATTTTTTTATTTTTTTTTTTTTACTTAAGAGATAAGAATTTAGCGCGATAAGCTTGTTCGATACTTTAAAGGAACTCATTGTTGGTTGAGCATACGACAAATTCGTATTAAAAAAGAAAAAAACGTTTCTTCCAAGTGTCTCGCTTCGAAATGACTTCGAATCAAGAAAGGGATATAGAGAGTTACGGTGAACCCGTGACGCCTCCGCGTCGATGGGTTTCTTATGTAGTAGGTGAACGTTTTTTGTGCTATAGTTGTGATAGAAATGATTTTCTTTATGACGATGATATACAGTGTGTGCGCGTCTATGAAATGTACTCTTGTAAATTTACTTGATTATTTTTCTTAACTAATAAAATATGTACGAAGTAACCAACATTTATTTATACATCTTAACATATATATAAATTACGTGTCACGTTGTTTGTCCGCAATGGACTCCTAAACTACTGAACCGATTTTTAAAAAATTTTGCACATAGTGTGCAGTTTCATCCAACTTGAAAGATAGGATAGATTATATCTCAATTTATTATCGCAATATTATTTTATTGCGAATTATTTGTTTATAAGATAAGATTTTAACAGATGGCGGTATAAGGTAATTCGTTGACTTAAAAACGTGTGTATCGGACTGATTATGAGCCACAGCAACGCGTGGCGGGGTACCCCTAGTGTAAATACAAATTGATATTTGAAAAAAATATACATTGAAATAAAAAAAGAAAAAAAAAATCTCTATCTAAATGAATACTTTTTAAACTCGGTGTTGTATATCGTAGAAAAGTGAAAGAAGAAAAAGTAACATTGTTACGTTGACAATTCCGCGAGTCAACATTTTCCTTATATTTTCTCTTCGTTTCTCTGCTTACTTTACGTTTAGATATCATCCTGACGTAAGAACAAATGCCGGTTCAAACTAATGCAACCATTTCTTGAGTAAATCTTGATTTCTCAAATCGTATGAACAAACAAAATGTGAACACTAATTTTCGTCGGTATTAAAATGGAGATATAATAATTTATAAAAGTTCATTTATATTGACTTAAGAATATCACGGAAACGTTATTCTCTTTTATCTCGAAAGAAGTATAAAAACATATTAATATAACGTTTGTTGCTTTTGTTACATACCTTTAGAGGATTCCGAGCTGTCCTATAAAGAGTCCACAACCACTAAAGGAATTTGTCGGCCGCTGTCAAACGATGCCATCGAGAGTGAAGAAGTCTTTTTGCGGTTGCCTCCAAGTAAGTACACGAGTTTACTTCCTGTAAATCTACTTAAGAAACATTACGTTTCATTTACTTTCATCTTTATTTTATTCGATATACATTTATATACACACATAATATATAATAAATAATTAACGAATAAAAATCATATAATATAATTATAATATAATATATTATATCATTATAATATATAAATAATAAAATAATAATAATAATAATAATATAAATAATAATTATGTTAAATATGTATTTCCTACGATAGTATATCATATGTAAATCGAGTTTATCATATAGTATAATTATAATTAGTAGTAGTAGTAGTAGTAGTAGTAGTAGTAGTAGTAGTAGTAGTAGTAATAGTAGTAGTAGATATATAAGATAGCAACTGATAACATTAATATGCTACACAGAATGTGTAGTATACTAATAAATGTTTTCTTATCTCTTTATCATTAATATATACACTTATGAAATAATCTCTAAAGACTAGACGATTACACCAACGTAATCTCAATCGTGTATAAGTTTCTCCTTCTCGAAATTTTTTTGTTCAAAGAGGAAAATCCTAGTAGAATCTTCGTCGATCATTCATCGATATTCCTTTTCTCAAAGTTCTTCTTCTTTTACTTCTTCCTCTTGTTCTTTGTATCCGTTTATTTTCTAGAACGCTATTACGTTGTAATATCTTGGTATGCATCTCCGCATTCCTTACTTAAATTGCAAACTATGCGATTTCTCTAACTTCTTTTTCTTTCTTTTTTTACAATGCAACAAATTATCATTGAATGATTTTGCAGAGAAGTGAGATGAAACGTTCAAGAGATAGGAAATAAAAACGAGTTTGAATGTGTGAATCGTTTGATCAACGATTTTTATCTTATCAGAAAGCGAAAGAGAGAGAAAGAGAGAGAGAGACAAATTTATTGTTATTTAATTCAATTTCGTCTAATCGTAACCAAGGAAAAGGACAATCTTCCTATTGTAAAATCAAGTTTTCATTTAAGAACAAAGTCCCATCCGATATTCCTCGTGGCAAGTTCAATACTAACTAATTCAACATTGCGACCTTCTCCTCGTTCGAAACCGATACAAACATTCGAATAAAATCATGTACTCGGCACGTGATCCGCTACACTTGAGAGACACCTTCCAATGTCAAGATTTTGTGCATTTTTTAGAAAAGTTTTTTAGACTATTTGAACATACGATAAAATCTTCTTCTTCTAATATATATAAATTACGTGTCAAGTTGTTTGTCCATTAATAATTTTAAAACTACTCAACCGATCTTAATGAAATTTTTTATATTTTATGTAATTTTGTCCACTTAGAATATAGGATAGTTTTTATCGCGATTATTTTTTATTTTTTACTGCTAATTTAATGATTTATTATTTAAAGTTTATCTAAGTACCTAGCTTCTCTAAACATTTAATAGATAGTGCTGTATTATAATTCAATTATTTCGATAGATTCACGTAATATGATTTTTTCAAATTTATATATGACAAATCTAACCTTACTGTTCATATTTTTTCGTGTATTATTATTTTATGTATTTCATTTTAATTGTGGTATTATTTTATGCCTTGTTATTATTTACTAAATAGTTTAGAATTATATTAAATTAACATTTTATAACAATATTCATATATTTTTAATAAACAACTTTTTAAATAATTATACTCAAATATGATATGATTTAAATGTAAAATTACAAATTTGATGTTCTTTTGTGCTTAATTTAAACTCACCGAAATTCTAAGTGAATAATAATTAGACTTCATTGAACAGTTTAAAATTATATTAAATGAACGTATCAATCTGATTCTAAAGAAGTTTTCATGTCAAAAAAGCCACAGCAACGCGTGGCCGGGGCACCCCTAGTATTGTTTAAAGTAATTAATTAATTAAATGGAATAAAACGGAAAGATCAATCACAAGTGATCAAAATTTCCAAATGAAATAAAAGTAAGAAAAAGAAAAAGAGAGTCGATGAACTCGGTAAAGACCAGTCGTCCTTGAATGGATATCCCGTATGATCCCTATAAATTCTATTAGATCGATGTACCGTCACGTCAGTCCAAGTGCCATGTAGAACCACAAGCTTCCATCCACGATCCTTGACGAACTATCTTTTTTCTCATCCATCCTTCACCTGTTCTTTAATAGGATAGGTAGAGAATAAAGCTTCTCTTCCGTACTTAAAAAGAGTATATTAATCGCTAAGATATAATTACTTCTATATTATCTTCTCCTTCTCTTTCATTCTCGCCCTTTACAACGCTTATTAACTTGCATCTTCCAAGAAGCACTCAAGTCGTATCGTAAACCGTACGGTAAACTTATGTACTCTAATTGTAAATGTTTTTCTAGAAAATGTCCAACTCTTAAGAAACTTCTTCTCAAGAATAATCATTTATTGTTTGCAGTAGTTTGTAGTCATCATCATCATCATCATCACTATTTTTGTTTGACTAAATTGGATTATTTGTATTTGTACAAAACATTTGAATAATAAGTTTGAAAATTTGGATCGAGGTCGACGACCTAAGAATCCTCCCATCCCTCTCCCAATGGATTTGTTCGGTTCTTTAAAGATGCAGAAAGACGTAATCGTGGTCGCACACGACATAAATCGAAGAATCGCGAACGACCAATGCGAATAGATAATTTCCTAGTCACGTGTGAAAGTAACTTTGGAATCCAGCGCCCAAGCCGGTCTCCTGACCTTTGCCGTCCCCCTCCTCCCCCCTTCTTCCCCCTCCTCCTCCCCTTGTTCGATCGAATAGAACGAGCAATCTTGTACGACGATCTCCAAGAGATGCTGCTGCATAGGGCCATCTTTTCTAGTCGGCGTTCCATTTAGAAATAAGGTCTGAAACAAATTCTGATCGATTTTACAAATGAAGAAATTATTAAGGACCATCAACATTGGGTTTGAATATTTTATCATTAAACTAAAGAAACATTTGTATTTAAATAGAAACAAAACTGTTGGATGAAATTTTTCTGAATTTACGTAAGTCAAAGAAAAATGCGCTTTCTTAACTTTCTTTGACCATATCGACTGTAATCGATAGAAACGCGAAATGTTGAAACTGCGAACGCGTAAAGATCTAGGAAATTGTATTATTGAAATAATTAGAGATGATACTCTCGATAGGTAAGATTGCAAAACCTGTTTCGATCGGCTTTATCGTTGATTTGATTTCGTTCTGAATCATTCAACCCTTGTTATTTTTCGACAGGATGACGAGCCACCGGAAATCACGTACTGCGTGGTGGAACACACTGGTACGCTCACGCTTCAAGCAATGACACCGACTTTGCCTATGCCAGCCGAAGAAGAACTGAACAAGATGTTCCTTGAATTGGTCGATGAGCTCGATTTGACTCAAGCTAATCGACAAGCGGTTTTGGCACTTCCGGCTAATAAAAAATGGCAAATATATTGTTCAAGAAAGGGAAATGGAACGCTTGAAAATGGGGGCTTGAGAACTACTGATCTTAGCGGTGATCCTGACGATTACATCGACAGGATCAGGGCCATTGCCAGTGTAAGTTATTTATATTATATTTCATTTTCTTTTAAAATCAATTTAATTAGCATTTAAAATGAACATTTGAAGTTTAATCTTTTACGTATGTACCATATAGATACTAAAGAGGTATAGTATATAAAAAATAAAAAATATATATATATATATATATATTCGTGTAGCCATAGTTAAAAAAAATCTTGTCATATTTCAGAGTCAATTTCCAGAGGAAGAAGAGGAAGCAGCGATACGAATGCGCCAAGTGGAAGCTCTGAAAACAGCTCTGAGAACACAACCGCACAGTTTCGTCCTAAGGTTCATCGAACTGGATGGTTTGAACGCTTTACTACAAGTTTTAGAAAGAATGGACGTGGAGGCAGCCAATAGCAATCTTCACACAAGCCTGATAGGTTGTTTAAAAGCTTTGATGAACAATTCGGTGAGTGTGAGAGCTTACGAATCGGTCGACATTATTTATCGGCTGTGAAGAAAAAAATAGGATAAATTATCGATGATATTCCTTGGTAGAATGGCAGAGCACACGTACTGGCACATCCCACAGCGATCAATACCATATCTCAATCACTTGCAACAGAAAACATAAAAACCAAAATTTCAGTATTGGAGATACTTGGTGCAGTATGTTTGGTACCCGGTGGTCATCGTAAAGTTTTACAAGCTATGTTACATTTTCAACAATATCATTCCGAGAGAACGCGTTTCCAAAGTATAATCAATGATCTGGATAAAAATTTTGGTATCTACAAGGACAATCTCTCTTTAAAAACAGCAATAATGTCATTCATCAACGCCGTACTTAATTATGGTCCTGGTCAAGTAACTTTGGAGTTTAGGCTCCATTTAAGATACGAATTACTCATGCTCGGCATTCAGCCGATTATTGAGAAATTAAGAAAATATGAAAACGAGACGCTCGATAGGCATTTAGATTTTTTTGAAATGGTTAGAAACGAGGATGAGAAGGAATTGGCTAGGAAGTTTGAGAAAGAACATGTCGATACTAAGAGCGCAACAGCCATGTTTGATCTGTTAAGGCGAAAACTCAGTCATACGGCAGCTTATCCTCATCTTCTTAATTTGTTACAACATTGTCTCTTATTGCCGCGTAAGTTTAAAACAAAATAAATTTACAAAAATATTCCGATATATTATTGGAACATTCTGAATCCAATTAATCTGGATTCGATTTCCATTACAGTCGATTATGGCTCGCATCCCCAACATTGGTTACTTTTCGATCGAATCGTTCAACAAATCGTCCTCCAGGCAGAAGCAAACGAATCAGGAACACCAAAAAATCCTGACGTAGCTCCAATCGATATCAACGTCAAAGAAATCGTTCATCTGTTGGCTAAAGAAGAGGAATTAGTTGCTGCCAGAAAGAAAGCTGAAGAATTGGAACGTGAAAATTCTGATATGTCAACGAGATTGGCTAAGAAAGAACAAGAACTTGATTTACGAACGCAAGAAAAGGTAAGACGATAAAAGAAAGTTTGCTCTCATGAAAGTAACGTTTAATATTATTAAGAATCTATCCATTTTATTCATGGATGATTAAAATCAAATGATTTTGTAGGAAGATATGGAGGCAAGTTTAGCAAGAATCAAGGAACGTTTAGAAAAAGAAACTTCGATGCATATAGAAACGAAACAGAGGATATCAGAGTTACAGGATAATCTTGAAACTCTATCTCGTCAAATTAATAACGAAAAATCGGAGAGGAAACGTTTAGAACAGTTGGTAGCATCAGGAAGTTTGCCGGACGATGCCAAAGCTACTTTAAAGATCGTAGATGATGAAGTTCTGGAAAAAGTCGAAGCCAAACCAATGCCACCTCCGCCACCTCCTCCACCTTTGGCTCCACCTCCTCCACCTTGTTTAATGCCAGCTGCTCCAGCTCCTATGAAGGTACGCAATATTATTTTCATTTGACAAAGTAGAATCAGATTTTGTATTATATTTATATTGTTTCAACAGGTTGAGATAGTGAAAAATGTTCCTCAACCGAGCAATCCGCTAAAATCCTTCAATTGGTCCAAGATACCAGAACAAAAACTCCAAGGTACGATTTGGTCCGAGCTAGACGATACGAAATTATACAACGTCATGGATCTAGAATCGATTGACAAGATCTTTTGTGCCTATCAGAAGAATGGCGTATCCGCTGAAGGTTCTATCGAAGATCTACGTACCTTAGGAAAAAATAAGAAAACTATGTCGGTAATTGACTCGAGAAGAGCACAAAATTGTACAATATTATTGTCGAAACTTAAAATGTCCGACAATGAGATTACTAGGACGATATTGTCGATGGATCAACAGAACATATTACACATTGACATGGTCGAACAATTGTTAAAATACATTCCATCGTCTGAAGAAGCTGCTCTATTAGATATGCATCAAAAGGAATTACAAAATAGAGCTGATTGTTTTCTCTATCAAATTTCTAAGTAAGTTTCTTCTTCTTCTTCTTCTTCTTATTGTTGTTATTATTATTATTATTCGCCTCTTTTTGTCTTCTTGAATTGTTTCGTTTATTTGTATAAAAATATTCTTCCAGAGTTCCTCACTACGAACAAAGACTGAGATCGTTGCATTACAAAAAGAAATTTTCAGCTAGTATAGCAGAATTAACTCCAAGGATGCGAGCGGTTCTTGAAGCTAGTCGTCAAGTTGCGAGATCTAGAAGACTGAGGAAACTGTTAGAACTGGTTTTAGCTCTTGGGAATTATGTAAATCGCGGAAACGCTCGCGGTAATGCTTGTGGCTTCCGATTAGCTTCTTTGAATCGTCTAGTCGATACGAAATCTTCTTGCTCAAAAGGCACCACTCTTCTCCATTATCTCGTACAAATCCTTGAATCGAGATTCCGTGAAGTTTTAGACATTGAAGAAGATATGCCACATGTTAGAACAGCTGCTAGAGTTAGTATGGCTGATCTTCAAAAAGAAGTAGCCAACTTAAAGAATGGATTGCAAGACGTTCAAAGAGAAATCGGTGAGTATCGATTATTTTATATTTCTTTACTAAGGAATTACATCTCAAAGGAATGAATAAATCTTCTCTTTTTTTCTTTTGTAGAATTTCATCGTGGTCAATCACAGGTATTGCAAGGTGACATGTTCTTACCAGCTATGAGAGACTTCCAGGCACAAGCCACGTGTAGATTAGCTGAAGCTGAGGATTTGTTCCAAGATATGAAAACCAGAGTAAGAACGAATGATTTTAATTTTATTAATTAGATAAATAATATATTTCGTAAAAAACAATTGTTCATTTAATCGTACAGTTCGATCGAGCTGTGAGACTATTCGGGGAAGATTCGGCAGGTGTACAACCAAACGAATTCTTTGGTATATTCGAAAATTTCCTTCAAGCACTTGCTGAAGCTAGACAAGATGTTGAAAACATGAGAAAGAAGATAGAAGAAGAAGAACGTCGAGCTAAACAGGAACAAGAGGTAGCACAATAAAGAAATTATTTCACGAGTCTTACACAAGAATACATTTTTTTAATCAATTTTTTTGTTCGTTCAGCTACGAAAAAGGACAATGGAAAGAAAGAATTCTCGCGAAGGAATATTGAATAGTATATCGTTAAGTAAAAAGAACGAAGCTAATGGTAATCAAGGAGACAACAAAGGTGAATTCGACGATCTAATTTCTGCGCTTCGTACCGGAGATGTTTTTGGCGAAGACATAGCCAAATTTAAAAGATCTAAACGTAGACCGGTAACACCGTGTGGTCAAGAATCACGTAGACACAGCGCTCATAGAGAAGATTCACGAGAAAGACATTAGGCTATTAGCATATAATTTATTTCTATTAAATAATAACAAAGAAGCATGAGAGATGAAAAGAAAAGTTCATCGAAATAGAACTTTTCAACTCATTTAAAAACATTGCAAACTCGAATTTTAATGAGATTCCTAATGATTAATAACAATCTCTTAACTCGTGATTATAATTTTTCAAATGACGAGTCTTTATACAAATTGTATTTCACGATCGATGGTACTACGTTGTTGATCGTTTCCTAAAATAATTCACAGACTGCGTAGATAGATTTTATTCGCTTTTTCAAGTCAAAGAGAAAAAGATAGAGATGCTAATAAAGAACCAAGATTATAACATAGATCTTTTGAGAAGAATCGAATTTTTTGTTTGTACATAAATCATACCAGCTTTCATGTTTGTTTAAAAAAGAAACAAACTATTCGGACCAAGAAAAAGTCTTACGAGCTAATACGGATCAAAAAAAGTTTACGTCGACATTGATATTAATCAAAACGCGAATTGATATACATATTTGTAATCATTTTCGTTAACAACCAACGTTTCAACATGAAAAATATTAACAAAATAGGGGCCTACAATGACATTTGTTGTGTCAAGTAATTCACAAGTCTGAATTTTCTATCGTTCAATTAGAAAGAAAAAAAACACTGATTGTGAGAATTTTTCACTGTCAAATGTTTATGACATAGTTCGACGTTTAGAAACGAAAATATACGAGGAAGAAAGAGAACGGAAGTTAAAAAATCGCGCTGTATAGAAATCGGTGTTTTATAAGCTTTTGTACTTTTGTATATATATATATGGTAATATCGATGTCTAGTTCTCGCCAAAAATCTAAAACAAAATCTTGTTGTTAGCGAGAATCTCGATGTCTGATAATTAATTAATTAATTATATATTACGCGTCTCTCACTGATATCACCATGTATTAATATTTGAGAAAATATACCTAATAAAAGAGTAAGATAAGAATCGTAAAGCACGTTATTATTATTATTTCAACTTACCGAATTTCTTCTGTCTTCATTTTTCTAATTATGCAATTCATTCAAATTATTCTTCACTCCTAATGGCCAAGATTCCTTACACAGAATAAATCCCAGTAATATTTATCTATAATAGAAATACACTTAAGAAGGATTGCAAGATTAACTTTAAACAAAAGACACCAAAGCACATATAGTAATTATATTTACCCAAATAAGCCAAAGATGCACCTTAATGTTTAAAAAATGTCCTTATTTGAAGAAAAATAATATATGAAATGTTAAATTGTGTGCGAAATCGTTTGAAAATAAATTTAAAATAGTTGTAGAGTGCACTACTTGTCATTACAGATTCTTTATGGCGCGAAACAGTGATGCCAGAACGTGAGATTTTCCCCCACGTGGGAGCCTTCGTGCGCATGCGACGTCACAGCTTGATGGCGAATGTTTCCATGGATATATCATCAGTAAGTAGTCCAGTCAAAATAGCCCTGAAATCGGGTTTTTGAGCTATACGGCTGAAAAAATATGGAAATTATCAGAAAAATGCGTACAAAACTGTGGGCAAAGTAAAAAAGTTCTCAACCACCGGGAAAGGGGTGAAAAAAATTAA